GTATGAGGGATTCCATGCAACGGCGTGTGGGGTTGGCCCTAGTACTACCTCGTCTTGTTCATTACTGGAATATGTGTCATTGAAAATGGATGTGTGTTGAAGTAAAGTCAATAAATAAAAAACGCGCATCCCCATTGTTTCTCCTTTTTTTGAGTACACAAAGTACTGTTTCCCATTTTTCCTCACAAAAAGAAAACATGAAACGCGTTTAATTTGTTTTTGATGTCGTATGATAAGGCCATGGCCGAGATTTGTCGAAATCGTAATTTCTTTTCGAATAGAAAGACGAATGTTTTCAAAGAAACTAAAGGCTTTTTTAAAACCACAAATTTTAAGAAAAGGTGGCAAAATGTAGAAGCTAGAAAACCCACCTCTACTAAAAAATAAAAGAAAATTCACCAAAGTAACTCTCATAAACCTCGTTGTTGGTTGCAGCTGAGACTAGATCTTGTGAAATAAACTTATTTCCCCTCACCAAACGCGGAACAGTTTGACTGAGCTTTTCCTGAAGTAAGACAAAAGATGTTTTCCATTTCATAGTTGAAATTGACGTTGCCAATAATTGACTTTAATATTCTCAATAAATATAGTACCAACGCACATTCCAAATCCCTCTATTACACACACGAGAAATCATTTGATAACATGTATAGTGGTAAATAAAAACCACAACATACAAACAAACGGTTTACTCGTAATCTTGCCTAACAAAATTGTTATTTGTCTTGATCATGAAAATTGTAAATTCAGAAAATTGTGGTTTAAGCCTGATTTTTATTTAATTTTATGAATCACAATGGTTTTCAATTATTTAATGATTTTAGACTACATGTTCAAAAATCAAAAGCGTATAACAAAAGTACAGCACTGGAGAGGGGCAAGTGTTATTGCAGAAGACACATCAATGGACGAAGGAATGGAATTTGTCTGTGAATATCCCTCATGTGGCCAAAATAACAACATTACTTAGGATATCACGTAGCGTAGAAAATTGCATGAGCGGCTATGCAAAATTGCAGTTAGTACGAGGTGTCATAAAAAATTAATAATTTTATTACAAAGTAATAAGCTTACAGAGAATGTAATTTAATCTCCTTCAAAGAACTGTCCGTGACTAGCGATGCACTTGCTCCAACGTTGAATCCATGACTCGCATTTCTGGAAGGTTTCTTTCGCAAGGGCTTTCATCTGCTGCATCGCGGCCCTCTTAATGTCGGTAATGATGTCAAACCGTTTCCTTTTTGAACGATTTTCATTTTTCGGAAGATCCACAAGACACATAGTGCTCTAGTAAGGAAGGTGGATGTGGTCAGATAGGAACTCTTTTTCCGCCCCAAAATTTGCGAATCAAAAGCGACGCAGTGCGGCACAGTGTATTGTCGTGAAGAAAGTCAGCTCAACATTATTATGGCAGTCTCGTTTGCAAATTATCGATTAAAATGCTTTGCACGGATACGTGCGAGATAATAATTTCTTCGGTAAGGACTCAAATAGTGATTCGTCCGCTTAAACGAAACACATTTGCTACTTTTTTGCACGTTTTCACGTCTGTTTTTGAGGCCGAAAGACGTCCCTACTGTTGCTCATCTTCAACCGACTTATTTCCGTTTTTAAATCGCTCATACCACTTGTTAACAGTCTTTAAGAGTTAGCATATTATTGTCACATACTGATGTATGAGTATCTTTATAACTTTTCTTGCAACTTGAAACAAAACTTAATGTTAATGCGTTGTTCGGAATACATGATAAGCGACAGAACGGAATGGAAGCTGACTGATGAATCAGAACGTGTTCAAACTTAACACTGCCCGGCTCAACGGACCAGGCTATCGGACATATTAGATCAAATGGATGTAGCGTTAGGATTTGCTGCTATATAAATCATTCATCGATTTTTTTTTATTTCACCTCGTATCTATCTACCCTCTCACTCTTGCGGGAGCTCATAGGGTCTAGGGCCAAATTTGCGCGCGAAGGGTTCTTTTTTCTTGGTTCTTCTTGATTTCTAGCGATTCCTCTGTCTAATAGTGCCTTTGAAGTACTTTGGATGGTGAAAAGTCTTCCTCTCGAAGTAAGGTCATTGTATCGTTTCTGTTTCTTTCTTACTTTTGCGGTCTTGACTTATGGTGTTAACAGCGATTTGGCGATAATGATGAACATCATTTAAGTCCCCCATCATTACAACAACAATAACATTAATAATCATAGTAATAATAATAATAATAATAATAATAATAATAATAATAATTAAAACGATATGGCGAGGCAGATAATACGTTCAAGATTATTTCAGGAAATACCAGGTCGGAAATTGCCACGCGAAACCCCTTAACCTCACTCATTCATTCTAGCTGCATAGTATAAATAAATTGTTTCGAAAAAAGCAACATTTCAAACAAACAAAAAATTCGAAGAATGCAAAGTTTTATTGATCACAAAAAATTGAACATTTTCTGCAATAATAAAGCAATATTTTACAGACATTTTTACGATTGCATTATTACGACCGAAGTGCAATGCTAATGAATGTCCAGCGCATCCCGCAGCATGTGGCAACATCAGAAACGTCGATAACAATTGTGCAACGCCATTCATCCGAACTATTTCTGGGCGTCCGACAACACTCGTCTCATTCAATTTCCATTCGCACCAGGGATGCACACCTGAATGAGAAGCCGTTCTTATCGATCCGCGCTTACTTTGTTAATATCTGTCGTTCATTCACGAGCTCTCCATCCAATTACAAAGAACGACACGCACACACATTCCAATACGAATAGTTGGCAAGAACAAACGGAACTCTTGTTCGCCCTTGGGGCACGCATAGGCCGGCGCGAGGTAGCCGGCTCCGGCAAGAGCGAGGGCGAGGTGTGCCTACGCCTGCAGTCCGGCGGCGGAGACGGGGGCGGGGGCGAGAGTGGGGGCGGGGCGGGGGCAGGGAGGCTGGCCAGGCCGCCCCCGCCTCCTCGCCGGGCGGTTCCGGCGGCGCCCGCGCGCCGCCTGCCTCGGGCCGTTTCCCACCGGAACGCCGCCCTGCTGACCAATCGCCATCGAGATAGGACCTCTTCCTCTTTCCGCAGCGGCGGTTTCTTGTGGGCGCGTACCGGGCCGCCCTCCAGTCCTCCCTCACCGCGCCTTGCCTCCCTCCCCGCCGCCGCCCCGTTTGTTCTCCGCTCGCTAGGCTCCGCACGCCGACTCGCCAGGCCACCGCCGCACCGCCGCCGCCACCGCATAGAAACTGCGCCGGGCTCCGCAACCGCCGCTCGCGATTCAGGCGATCCTCTCCCGCAGGCGGGCAGTCTGCTTAATGGTTCATGGGAACAAACGCGCAATGTTGTGCTCCTATTCGGAAAACACCGTACATTCTAGCAGTGTTTAATATCAATGCGCGACATATTTCAACTTTTTTTTTAATTTAGCAACGTAGACATTCACGGTCGGAGTCAACATGGATAAGGTTAATCTGAACCGGCCTATCAGCTCAGAAACTTTCTCTGATAATAATTTATTTTAGATATTAAAATTGTGGTCAGTATTTTCTATATAAAAGCCTAACGTCTTACATCATGTAACGGTAATCTGTTTGGTCTGAATAAAAGCTACAGCAAAGACCGGAACTTTCAAGACGCGCAGATTGCCTACCTCTTGACAAGTACACGGAACATGCTCTCAACACGTAAGCACACGGCACGCCTTACTCTGAGGCTGTGTAATCAAAAGTACGCAAAGAAGTGCTGGGCGTACGCAAACAGCGTGGGAAAGCCGCCGACCAGCCCCGAGAAGCCGGGCGGCGGGCGGAGGGCGCGTAGGGTTTCCGCCCTGCCGGGATCGACCTGCTCCGCCCCGCCCACGCAGCGCCGCGCCGCGCCGCACGCGCTCGACCAGACAGCGCCAGCGCCGGGGCGCCCCGCAGGGGGCAAAACAAAACAAGGAACATTTAAATAGCGATGTAAAACACCCGCGTTTTGAAAACTGGTTTAGTAACCTCTAACATTAATGTACGCGTGGGAGGGAGGTATTTTTGACAGTGGCATTATTTATTAATTTATAATTAAAATTTAACACACACAAATAATAATAATAATAATAATAATAATAATAATAATAATAATAATAATAATAATAAACTAAACAGAGCCTGTGAGCTCAATTCGCTGTAGAAGAGTACTCTTCGCCTACCGTGCACGCGTTGATCGCCGCTTCGTTAGTGGAATAAGAGGAAGGCCGCAGAAAATACCAGGGCATCGGGGTTAACTCTCGGGTTTCCTTGAGCGTTTTCAAAAATGTCAAAAAATTATTTCGATGGCTTCCTACAACTACAAAATTAAAGAGAGAGATTTTTACTTCAATTGGAATTTGTTCTCCATAACTAGTTCTTTTATTAAGGTCGTGAACATTTTTTGAAACTGTTAGTAGTTTTCGCGCAATATTGTGAGCAATTTTAAAAAATTACAAAAACACGATTTTCTCCAAAACGGTTCCAATTTTTTCTTTAAACTTTTGGAAGGGATAGTACTAAATTCACACTATAAAATGACATAAATGATATATAGCTCTATTCTTTAATTTGTTTTCCAACAATTACAAAATTATATTTTTACATGTCTCTCATGTCGTTAATATTTACATTACCGGCCAATTCTTTGCATTTATAAGTATATGTGCTTTAAATACTGTCAGATAAAGTTTCCCCAAAATAACCGTTTTCCGTGAAAATGAGATCAAAATTCCGCATTTTCCAAACCCTTCAAACGCCAGTTTCTGAAAAACGGCTACATAATTTTCTTATAACTTTTCCAACTGCTAACTGCACTGCAGAATTAACTTTGCTGCGTTCTTTTGTTTTGTTTTTCAAAGATTACACAAATGTAATTTTTTTGAATGATCACGCCAATGATATGCCCATCTTCAGCAATTTGTAAACACTATTGCATTTGTTACTACAAGTGTTTCAAATGACGTTATATGAAGGATTTCGAAAAGTCAATAGTTTTCAGTGAAAAGAGGTTCAAATTACGAATTTACAGTAGCGCTTAAGCTTCATTATCTTTAAAACGGCTGCAAACTTTTTTTAAAGAAAATTGCAAAGACGCATTGCAACGAAAATTGCACGAATTACATTTTGGATGAAGTTTTACAGTTCTTTAATATACATAAAAGAATATTTCCGTTCTACAATTAGCAAACCGAAAAATTAAGAACTTTTTTTAAATGTCTGTCTGGGAAAGTCTGTGCCATTCTGTAGCACTACTAGTTTAATTATAGTAGTGGTAAATAAAATAATAAGAAAATGGAACGATAAAATACATTTTAGCGAATGCAATAACGTCAACAAATCAGAAACAAAGCCGTATATGGATGTATAAAGTTGTACCTTCGATGATCTTTGAACACATTATGAAATGAAATCACATTTGTAATTTGTTTCTTGGTAGTAAGGTGTCGCAAGCGCCTGAATGTCATTTTTTTAGGTTGCAAAAGGTTATTGAAACTACAAATTTAAACTCTTCTTCGAAATAATAAAATTCGAAACAATTTTATTTATTTGCAGGCAATCCATTGAGGAGAAGTTGATTATAGAAGTTGATTTCTGAGCTTATCCAATCTATTCATTACACGTACCATTTCACCTGCTATCGAAATGTTGCGAGTCTTCCAAGCTTTCGTTGAAAGTCCAACAACTCATTATAAATGCCTGCAGCTAAATTCAAACTTCCAAAATATGACTTCATAACATTCAATAAACTTTTATTTATTCATGGCTGACAATACAATTGTTGGAGCGACTAAATATCACCCAAACATCTCATCGATGCGAATTTTCGATTTTTCGGAGGACGGATTTCCTTTTACGTAATTGCCGACAGAAACGTGACAAAATACTAACCAATGCTCCAGTACGATCCAAGTAATGTTTCAGCACCTGCCTTTACCGCAATGGCCAAAGAGTCATTAAAATTTTTTTTTTCGACACAGTGAAAATATTATTTTTATGATCACTTAATCGTTGTCGGTGGGCTACAAGTAAAAGAAGGGGAGGAAAAGCAAAACTGCTAGCTCATCGTATTAAGTGCACACAACTTTACTTTTTATATTACCTGTAAAACTTATCAAAATGTATATTTTTGTACAGCAATAGAACGTATGAAAATGTAAGCTTAATGCAGTATGGCCATGAAAAAGGAAGACAGAAAAGATATAACGGATAAAAGGGCACTTTATTGCCCAAAGGTACGAAAAGGTCGAGAATAAGGCCAAAGATCTGGTGAAACAGGTATAATGGTGACAGAAGAGGATTATAGATAGATTACAATAAGAAGTGATCACTTTGACAGCTTGTGATTGGCCACTGCTGGTAACATTACTGCAAGTTACGTCCAGGCACTCGTCTTTACAGTGTTTACGATTACAGTTGGCTCGTTTATCACTATCTCTTGCAACGCCATCGCCCAGCATGCCGTTCATTAATTCCCCGACGTGCCAAAGTGGTCCCTTCTTAGAGTAACCCCTCCACAGAAAGGGAGCATGTTCGAAAGAAGGGCGACGCACGGCCGCAGCTTGGCTCACCGGTGGTTGTGGTCGGCGGGGTGCGCGCCCAGCTCCTGCTTGGGGCCGGGCGTCACGATGGCGGGGTGCGTGGCCAGCGAGTGCGGGTGCGGGTGCGGGCTGAGGCCCGGGTGCGGCGGGATCAGCCCCGTGGGCGAGAACCTGTAAAAATCGCTACAAATCAACACAACAACAGCTCGTCAGTATCTGCAGGCCGTGCGGCGCAATTAATGCTCGTCAGTCGCGCGCATCGCTCGCCGCCGCCGCCGCCGCGCCTCGCGCCGCCCACGCCCACGGCGGCGGCCTCCCCCTCTCCCCAGCCGTGCGCTCCCGCTCCCTCTTTTTTTTCGAATTGCGCGTCCGGACCGGTAAAAAACTAGCGGTAATTTTATTCCGAACATTAGAGCGGTTAACTGTATCGGGAAATTTAACCAATTTTCTTTCTCCGGACACGCGCGCTGCCTGAACGCGCACCTGGCAGAGCATGGGCGGGCGGAGCGGCGAGGCGAGGCGGGGCGGGGCGGGGCGAGGCGAGGCAGGGCCGGGGCGAGCAGGCGTGGCGCGGGCGAAGGGAGCTGGGCGGGCTGGGCAGGACGGGGGTGAGGGCGGGGCGGGTCGGGACAGGGTTCTGGGCGAAGGCGGGGAGGGGCGAGGGCCGGGAAGGATGTGGTGAGGAGGGGAGGGGCGAGGCGAGGGCGGGGCGGGGCGGGGCGGGGGCGGGGCGGAGTGGGGCGAGTAGGGTGGCGGTGGCGCAACACTTTGGCATTTTTCCATCCTGGGAATAAAGCGCGCGTGCGACGCACGTGTGCACCGCGTCAATGACGATGACGTGGGGCGGGGCGGAGCGGGACGGGCGCCGCGGGGTTGTCGCTAACATATGCTCCGCAACATGTTACTCGCGCTGGTCGAGAATAAAAGAGGCACGAGGTAATTTTTGTAAAAATAGAGAGCGAGTTTGCAAGTGCGTTGCCTCGCGGCGCCCCTGCCGCTGCCGCTGGTGCGCGCTGGCTCCCTCTCGCCGCGCGCCTCGCGTTGCGTTGCGTTTACGCCGGCGCTTTAACTAAGGGCGAGGGGCCGCTGCGGAATTGATGCCAGTGTTGCCTCACACATACACAATATGGTGACACATGCAAATAATAAAATAAATCAACGGCGAAAATAGTTTGTTTTGCTCACTCTTTTTGATAGTTTGCCATTTTTTCTACCTTTTAAAGCTAGATACTAGAGAGACTTTTACTGGTAGAAAGAAAACAAAATTGTATGTAGGCCGCAGACAAATACAATGAATTCTCTGTATACAGTGAATTGAAAGTATGATATAATGCAATATACATCTCCATTATTGAATGTCACTGACTCAATGCAAGGATAGAGTGACTTGAGAAGACCTGTCATTCATTTGCTTCTTAAAAATTAGGCAACCGACAAAATTGGAAGCAAAGATAAATAATCCAAGCATTATATCTAATGTAAAAACCCTGTTACTTTACAAAATTTGAAATCGTAGAAATTGATTACAAAATAATATTCTAACACAATAAATGCCAAAATCCTTTAAATGTCAACTTCTAGAGAATGGTCCTCCTTCCACAACATTTAATTGAATGGCATTTTCTCACGCGATCGACAAATTGATTGATGAAAATTAAAAAACGGAATTTGAGTTTATCAATTCGACCATTGCTTCCACCTTTTGAAAATATTTTCATACATTATATTGGGAGGAAACAGAAATAATTTAGGTTTCATTGAAGGCAAAAAGCAGCCAGCGTCTGAAAATTATGTTACACGTTCAGCAAAGCTCATATGCCGATGGGCAACAAATGCAACAGCGTAACATCCTTATTAGAACAATTAGCTGCTTCCCGCTAGCCACAACCTCCTAACCAAGTGCTGGACAGAAATCGGGACAAAATTTCAATAGTTTCCCAATAATCCAATATTGTTTTAGCAAAACTTGACTATGACGAAAACCTCTGTAAACGGAAACTTTTCAGGTGGAAAAAAAATCTCAGAAAAACGTTTTACTGGAAAATGATCTCCAGATGTAGAAAACCTCTCTAATTCGAAAACTAAATGTTTTACTCAGCTGTAAATTATTTTAACTTGAGTAAAAAGGGAAATTGACCCACAAATTTCAGGGGTTACTAGGAAGAAAAAAGTTAAAGGGACACATCCAAAACGGGCCTAACAACGAAATTTTCGCGTTGTTCTTGCTCTCCGCGCATATCATCCAAATCTTCCGCCGATGCTGAAACATCGTTTGGCAGCGATTTTTGAAAATCCTCTAAAAGATAGAAATGTTTCGCAGACACCTTTTGTTCTGCCTAAGACAGGTTTTACTGTGTTAATGTACAGGATGGCCATTTGTTCCCGGAAAAAGGAAGGGAAAAACCCACATTGAATTTTCTCGAACCGTGATAAAAAGGCAAAATTTAAAATATTTAGTCAAAAAATAAAAATCGTACGAAAAGTATCGATGTACCAAAGTTATCGTTAATAATAATACAAATAATAATAATATCGTCAAAGGACTGTGTTTGATTGTTCTCAATATTGCACGGTTTCCCGCCCTTCTTCCAGAAAGCGGCCACCCCCCTTCGTCAGCAGAAGCGCGCGCCGTGCGCTGGTCTCACCTGGAGAGGCTGGTGCTGGTGATGGGCAACGACGACGGGTACGGGCTGCGGAAGCCGGCCGCAGCCGTGGAGATGGGGTACATGCTGGGCGAGTGCCTGCAACCGTAGTGGACGCCAGTCACAACGGAAGGGAAGCAGGGGCGGGGACAGGGGAGGGGGAGGGCGGGCGCTGGGCTCGCCTCCCTTCACATCGTGTGATGGTGCAAATACATAGGTAGTTGCGAGCAGCAACCGCCGGTAAGATCGCCAGCCAGAATTCCTAATTGCGAGATTCATGCATAGCTCAGGCGGATCCAAATAAGTTCGAAGACGTATGGCATTCGTTCCGATGTAGTTATATGTAAACACAATTTAATTTAATTTTAAGTGAAGGAATATGTATGTAATCCAATCGTATAAACAGATCACATCTATCTCTCAAGATTACAATCGTTTGCTCAAATAAAGAGACCATTGTGACTGTTTCTAATTAAAACAATTAGCGTGAAGTTTTCACATAAATTATAAACAACGAATAAAATATCAAAATTCTCAGAACATCAGAAATTTATTTTCATTAATATTTCACTTTATTTTCCATTGTTTTAATCCACTACGATTGACTAACGATGTCACTGGCTAGACACCTTTCTTCCTTCTACAGAGATGCGCAGCACTTGACCTACGTATTTACACCACATCACACACATTCACTTCAAACAGCCACACATCTACAGAAACGACATGGAGCACAATTATTTTACAGTGCATTCATTCTTATTTGAATACTCTTCGAAATTAACATATTTTCAATTAATTAATAAGTAAATTAATATTTAGAATAAACTAACAAAAACACTCATTTTGGAATACGAAATCACTACCTACTTTTAGTTTCAGAAAGAAAAGGTGTTTGTTTATCCTTCCAGAAGACTAAGTAAATGTTAAGTTTAGCACAAACACATACCTAAGCATTCTAATAAAAACACTTTCAAATTTTGTATTATTTAATTAAGCCATGTAAAGTATTTTCAACAGCAGGGAAGTGTATAGCATTCCAGATTGAATGATGTTCCATTTAACGCAATTAAAACAGAAACAAAATTAAATATGATATGTACACATACATTTAATTTTGCAAATACCATTCATGGCGATTATTGATCACAAAACGCCCACACATCTACTGTTAAAACCAAACACCAATAATTTTGGTTATAAAAGTTTATTGGCCTTTTTAATCCATGTTTTCAGTGCTTATAGTTCCCAATAATTATGGCGGACACTCTTCTGTACACTCACAAAAATACGATGCAACTGGCACCTGTTTAGATCAACGGTAAACTATGTATTAAACGAAACTAAAGTATAAAATTCTTTGAGTTTTACAAACAAACTTGCTCGTGAGTCTCAGTAATATTTGTTTGAAATAGCAAAAGGCTGCGTTCAACAATACACATGATCCTCCATTCCCGTCGATTTCCTTAAAGAGTCCAGCACAGTGTTGTAACATTCTTAAAATCGGATGGCTGATACTAGTTTTAAGAGGCAATATAGAACGTATTTTAAAGCCTTATAATAGAACTGTCCGTTTAAGTTTCATAAAAGTTACTTGTCGATCCAAGAAACGAAAAACGAGTTTTAAATTTAGGAGTATGAGCATGGATTTACAAAAAGTTCAAATCTAAAAATCCAGGGGTTCCTCCTAACAGCGGGACCTTTCGTCGGGTCGCCGCCGCCGCCGCCGCCGCCACCTTGCACCAAAATGGCGTCCTCATTTGCGCTCCCTCGGCCGCCGTCGCCTCGCCCTCCCCCGCGCGCCTGTTTTTTCTCATCGCCGCCGGCCCCGATATCCCAGCCGCTCTCGCAGGGATATCGGAATCCGAGAAGGGGTCGGCGGGGCTCCTTGCGGCGGGGGAGGGGAACCGCGGCCGTCGGATCGCGATAAGCCGATTTGCACGCCCCGAAACGCCGCCCGACGGCGCCGGCGCCAAATGGGCCGAAAGAATGCGAGTCGCCGCATTCCCCCTCCCCCTCCGCCCGCCCCCGCGCCGGCGCTCAGTCGCGGCCCAAAACCCGCGCTCCTCCACTGGCGAGAAGGCGCATTCCTTCGACGTGCTGTGAGGTGTCCTCCGTGGGCGGGCCTTGCCTTCAAACTCAAAAACGTGAAACTGCAACAACGGAACCGCACTAAACGGGGTTCGCGGAGTTTATATTTAGGAGAATTACGCCATTAGAATTGACGGCGCTACTGCCTCGAACGTGGATTATTGAACTTTTTTTTTTCTGAAACACTGCATAGAGCAACTTGGATAGGTTGCTTTGTACCACGTGTTCTGTTTCTGAGAAAGTACGAACATGCGTAAATCAACACTCATCAACAACATGGACATCAAGTCAATTAGCGCGTGAAGACACTCACGAAGCCTACTTGCGAAGCGCGCATTCATCGGAGGAGTGGTGAGAGAAAAGAGAGTGAGTGCAGAAGAGGAATTAAGAGCAGAGGAGGGGGGAAGAAGAAAAGAGCACGAAAGAGGAAAAAAGAAAGAAGAGTCAAGAAAGGGAAGTGGGGAAGAGATAGGAGGGAGGGAAATGGAAGATGGCGATCGAGGCAGAGAGAAAGTGAAAGGGAGGAGAGAGAGAGCTGGAGAGAGAAGAGGAAGAGGAAAGCAGAGAATAGAGAGAATTTCGAATTGGAGAGAACCGAAGGGATTAAGCGCCAGGCGGGGCGGGAAGCGCGGTCTGGGGCGTGGCTGGAAAGGAATGGGGTTTCAAGCCCAAGCCCGGCAAACCCAGCCGCAGGTGCGCCGCTGCGCGCCGCCAAGCGGAACGCCGACACCCCCCGGCCGCGTCACGCGTGCCAGCCGCGTCGAAAAACCATTCGGTTTTTAACGCTCTATATTTAATATCGCTAATGTAATCGATTGCCCGGCACTGCTCGCCGCGCTAATGCATATGCGCCGGGTTTAAGCGCCGGGATTGAATCGCGCTCCAAGGCTCCCCCTCCGCCCCACCACCCACGCCGAGCCGCCGCCGGCCCGCCGGGGGAGGGCGCCCGGCCAATTACGCTAAATATTTAATTTAAAAACGGTTCGCGTTAATGACATTTCATTGATTCAATCGACGCCACGCGGCAGCGGCACAGCCGGCCACCGCTCGCCCTCGCTTCGAGACCCGCGCGCGCCCGGCGGGTCGTTGACGACCCTTCGAGCTTCGCGGATCGTTTTTTCAATAGGGTACTGGTTATAATGACCGAAAATGTTGACAAGTTCAATATTAAAGTATGTTTGTTTGATGTCGTTCTAGACGCTGCAAAACGGTTGCGCGATGTTTGAACGCAATTTTGGAAATTCAGGTTACCTAATCTGCCACTAACCCGAAACTTTCGGCGACACGGACTGATCAATGAATTTCCACTTTTGTATTTCTAAAGTCTAACTTGGATATGTAGGTAATCTCATAACACATCACATGAAAAGGACTCCAACGTTGAGTCGAAAAGTCGTTTATTGGTCAATATGCAAAATCACTGTGACAATACTATATGTGGTTGGTAACGTATTTTGACGTTAAAACTGCTGTCTTTACGAAAGAGAATATGGCGTGTTTGTTCGTCGCGAAATTAAGAACTTAAAACGGAAATTTTGAAATACCCAGTGATCGACAGTGAAAGGCGACGGAAAATGAAGTAACAAACTCGCTACAAAATCGACAAGCCGCAGCGTGAATGAACTGTAGTCCTTCAAGCCAAGCTGGAAACAGGGGTATCTCTGCAGCATCATTACAAGGACGTTGGGCGTGTTGCCTACATGTGGAACCCAAGGCGCACGTTCCATTCATTCCAGAAATTACCTTCGTGTCATTGATTTTACGTACACCAAGCGAATTTTAGTTTCGTGTAGCAATATTACAATGTTAAGTATTTTAAAAAAGATAATGCGATAAATTCAATTATAATTTGCAATGACAGGACGTTCCCAAAAACCTGAAGTCCGGAAGGAACAAGTCCAATCGAAACCCACCCTCCCGAACGGCTGCTCGGCGCCATTAACATCAGTTGAAGTTCGGCCGAAAATGGTAGAGGTCCAGCACTCCCCCCCGCACCGCAGCCCCTCCGCGACCCGGGGTGCGCCCGACCCGGCCGCACGGGGGCGAGGCACTTCCGCGGGCCGGAAATCGCGCCTTCGCCTCGAACGGGGCGAACGCCCCGAAGAAGGCGCCGCCGCCGCCGTGAAATCGCGCTGCCCCATTGCGACTGCCCCAAGCCGCGCCACTCGCGTTGGCGAACGACTTGGCCCCCGGGCGAGCACAGAGGTCCCACAAGGAGCAGCAGCAACGGGGAGTACTTCACACGATAGTTTTATTCTCTATATATTCTTAGAAGCACACCACGAAATCCTATCCTTTGTTCATTTGTATAATTGTTATAATTTGTATATCATACTATTCTTTATAAAGGTTTGTTTAGAAATAATAAATAATAATAATAATGATAATAATAATGATAATAATAATAATAATAATAATAATAATGATAATTATTATTATTACCGTTATAGTATTTTTCTTTCCTTCATTTTCATTTTCCTCAAAACTGCTATGTAACACTAATATAGACAAGCAATATGAAGCCTTTTCTTAACGAAACGTTTGATTTCTAAAATATGAAGACTTCCTTATAAATCATACGTATAAGCAAAATTTTCTTAGTGATTGTATTTTCAGATTCTATCCGATTTAACATGAAATTTATTATTTTAATGCCATATTATTATGTCCTGATTGTTCACAACAATTTCAGAGAAGAGTGTCCGAAACTTACTGCAATTGCCAAACTTTTGAAGCGGAAAGAGCATGTAATTCTACAATTCTAACTCTAGCTTGTAATCTCCAACAACGAGACGTATCGAAGAGCTCCATTAAAAATTATCACCAGCAGCAGTTTTTGCCTATTATGTATACTAGATTCATCACCAGAGTTTGTTTTCAAAAATAATAATTTCGTTTCGCCAAAACGAATCAGAACAGTATTTGCCTGAGAAAGAAACATTACGTATGCAGAAGGGTGCGCGGGGAACAGTACTTACCACGACGCCGCAACCTGCGACATCTCCGGACTCAGCATGGGGTACGGGTACTGGCCGGCGGAGAACGGATACATGGGCGGGCGCGTCAACCCTGAAACAAGACACGAGGCGGGTTAGAGCAGGACTCAGGGCCCACGCAGGGTGCCTCTCCACCGCCACCACACCAAAGGGCCACCAGCGCCACCGCCACCATCGCCACCACAGTCCCCACCACCACAACCAGCACCGTCAACACCATTACAAGAAGAACAGAAGGCAATTACATTGACGAACGACACAAGAGTTACTATATGGTACATTTTCCCAAAAGAACCATTGAAATGGAGGTTGGAGGGAGGAATTGAAAAAGTTACAAACTTACAGAAAGAGTTTAGGAAGCAACAGAAAATGTGTACCTAAAGTCCGTCACTACGGTTCAATAACCTAAGCATCAGCAAGAGCAACAGAACAAAGAATCCATTTGTAGGCGAACGAATATGTGACAAGAAATAATGTTATTAGATTAGAAGAAATGTTCGTTCGGAATACTGAGCAGCGCTATGTTAGGATGGCAAGGAAATTGGGTTGCAGCTCAATGAACTTAAAGAAGCCGTGAAATTCCACTAACACTAGTGGTCTGCGGCAGCAAAAATTCTGCTGCTGAGTGTGGGGAAAATGAGATCCGAAAGTAGAGGAAATATCTGAAACTATTAAGGTGTCATAGTTATCTTTCAATTTGCGAGCGCATTGTAAATTAGTAACATAGATTTTACTTTGATTAAGAAAATTAAATTACCCATTGTTGAAAATATTGCCACAACGCAACTTTCGTTTTGCCGTAAAAAGTTTCGTGGTGTAACGGTTAGCTTCTCGGACTGTTAAACCCAACTTTGAGGGTTCAAACCCGATCAAAAAACGTACATTTTTAAAGGCGAAAAGTCTATCGTACGGTTTCCTTCGGAGAGGAGGTAAAGACGTCTATCCGATGTTATAGATTTCGTATAAAAGACCCTCCAGCCTAACCGACGCCTCTGAGCTTTTGCTCAGATTTTGAATTTTTCCAAAATCGCCAGTTTCGTTCCCGAGTGGTACCCCCTTCTTCGCTAGATGTTGAAGACGTAGATCTCCCTTAGCGGAATTTACGTGGTCAGGCGGAAGAGCAGGCCTGACGGCCTGAACCTCGCCACGGAAAATAATGCGTTTTTGCACTGAATTGAATAAGGGAACAGCGCTGCAAGGTGTGCGTGGGTGTGAGCTGCGCGTTGCGGGGCGGAGATAGGAACGAACGTCGGCGCGAGGTGAACGCGCTTCTCCCCCTTCAACGCGCGTGCGCGGCTCCAGTGGCGACGTAATTAGCGCCCCCCGCCCATCGTCTGATTTCACGCGACGTCTCGTTAGGAGAGGTTTATCGGACGCTTTGCCTACCGCGTTCTTTCGGAACGTTCTCTAGACCCTCAACACTCTAGAACGGATCTGCCGTTCCTCGAAAAACGCTCTTTTGTAAACGGACACAGTACAAGGAGCATACGTCATTCACGAGGAAACCACATTAAAATCAATTACTGTAAAATACGTGCGCATTTGACATTGTTGATTGAGGGTTCGTACGTGCGGTAATTTATGGGATATTTTTTTTTGTCAAACAAAAACTGTTTATATCATCCCACTAGTTGTATGGCTTCCTCACTACTTCGAAACGTCCAAACTATTGCACGTACGCCCTCCCCCTGCACATTTGCAAGTCCTT